CACCGTTTTGGTTTTTGCTGTATATAACCATAATGCATGGGGTTTAATTAACACCACTTGGTGTTGGATTTTGACACCATTTTAAGATTACTCTTTACACCACAGATATTTTAAACAGTGTTAGGTTGTGATCATGCTCGAGCGTTTATAATAATACAGCTTAAAATATAAAACGCTTGAAGATAACAGTTTATATTTTCATATCAATAAATGATCATTTTAAGAAAGTAAATGACTTTTTTAATACAAGTAAACTTAAACGCTTCGTAAAATGCAACGAGGTTAGCTGAAATTTAATTGTCAACGTTTCTCATTAAAATTACTCTGCAGTGTATTTTATTTATTTCGTTATAGCTATAATACCTAGCCTAGGTAACCTAGGTACTTTTACGTTTGGAATGGCAATAAAAACCCGATTTCATGCCGTCAAAACAAAGGCTATTTTAAGTTCACGGATTGAATTTCGCTTATAGGATTTGGGGCGTTGAAACCAAATAGTTTTGATTTTTTTCTATTTTAAATTTGTGGTCTACATTTTACATATCTAGTTAATGTAAAAAATAATACGTGGGATACTATATGTCAAGGTCAGTGATGCGGATTGAAAGACACTGTCTTGGTCTTCATGATATAATATATAGAACTTTCCTTTTGTGAATTTCTTCTTTGTTTTGAAATCTAAAATCCTTATGTTTTAAGTAAAAATTACAACTTTTAATTTAAATGTTTAGTTTATGTTATTGCAATTTATTTACTCTCGAAAAACATATTATAGTAAGGACATTCCAGTAATATAATACTTAAAGATAAACACGTTTTAAATACCTACTGATAAAAAAGTAAAACATGTTAAAATAAAAAAATAATCCAAGGTATTTTAATTCTGCAACAATTTTAAATTAATGATCCAAATTTTTATTATTATATTCTATATATTTCTAAGGTTTTTAGATCTTTAAAACATTGTTGTTATGATTATCTAATGTATCACGAAAAGATTAAGTAAATGGTCGTAAAGACTACTAATATAGGTACCTACATAGGTAATATGAATAAATGTGTGGTGTGCCGATAGTAAATATAATTAAATGTTCAGTAATAATAATAATATAATAATCTTCAAGCGTTCTATAATTTAAGCTTTAATATTTTCAACGCTCTTTGCCAAAGTATTCGATTATCTCCTCTAAAAAAATAATGTAGACCAATCAGGTGAAGTTTTGTACATCCCAGGGTGGCGATTCTCGAGTTAAGAGAACGCTATTCTCATAGGAGAATTGGCGTTTCTCTCAAGTTTTGACAGGCTGCATTATTGAATTTAAGATAAGTTAGTGCGTTCTTCTCTCGGAAACTATTTTCTGCTTTAGGAGAACCAAACTATTGCATGATTTTAAGAATGCAGCCTGTCAAAACTTAAGTGAAACATGCCCACTTCTCATGAGAATACGTTCTCTCAACTCGAGAATCGCCCCCCAGAGCTGTTCTGAGTACAAGAAAAAAGTACTCGAGTAAAGTACAAGTACTTTGAAAAAAATGTACTTGAGTACAAAGTACAAAAAAATCCAAAAGTGCTCACGAGTACAAGTACGAAGTACAAAATACTTTTTCCAAAAACTCTGAAAATGTAATTTAGGTTTCAGTATCTAGCAAAAAAAGTTGTTAAAAGTTTAACAAAACAAAATATCAGGTTTAGGTCACTTGGAGATATTTAAAAAAAAAACTGCATTTTTATATTTCTTTAATACACGTATTTATTTATGATTTGAATATATTTTTTTCAAATAACCAATGATTTCGATTTTAAACAGAAAAAAATAATATTAATAATATTCTTTTACATATAACCTTTATTACCTATAGGTATACCCAAAGATAATAGACCCCAGGGGTATTATCTTTGGGTATACCTATTCATGCAAGTAATTTATTATATATTGGAATAGATAAAGTATAGTATTACACTCGAGATTATGCGCAATATTCACTCGGATGATTTAGGTCTCTCGTCTAGCGACTCGAGACGTAAACCTCATCCTCGTGAATATTAGCCTGCATTATCTCTCGTATAATAATATACTATTAAAGTATTGTTTTTTGTTTATAGTATTCTAAAACACACTTTTATTTAATTAGGTATATGTGCATTCACCATTTGTAGTTTTTAGTACCGACCATTCCAAGATTAGCTAGCTACCTATAGTGAATGTTAAATAAGAATTTAAACGCAAAATCGTTGAATATGTTTTTCATGAAGATTTCTATATTATTTATATAAAAATATTGTTTTATTAAAAATATAAATTAACCATCTTCCCAGATAGCACAAGAGGTACCCAGGACGTCCATTTCGGGTCCCACATAGGTCCGAACGTCCTAGACCTATATAGGAAGTTCTGGGTACGTCCAGTCTCTTACTTATTTGGGAAAATTATAGCGGATATACTGGGTACGTCCCAAGGACGTAATTGAAGCATTGTATTTCCAAAGGGTCTAAGTGCCAAGTTGGTTAAATAATATATTATCATTTAAAAATAGTTTGTGTCATGCAGAATGGCTTAATAGTATATTCTGTAACAAGTTTGGAATACAGCATATCCGCTCGAGTGAAGAGTTTGTCACACGAGCCAAAGGCGAGTTTGACGGTTTCAGGAGAGCGGAATATGCAATTCCAAACGTGTTTCAGACATTTCAACATTTACATGTGCAAAATATTTGTTTTTCATTGATAACTCAAAATTTTATTTTTCTAACTTAGACCCCCCAGACAGCATCCAATTCAGAAAGATTTCAGATCAGTTGAAAAACATCTTACTGAGGTCACAATATGACATCTTAGAGAAATCATTTTTAGGAGCTCAAGATTAAGAGTTCTTGATGAATTCATAAATAAGAAGTAAATTTTTTAACATCTTAAAGTATCTTAATTCTGACCTCTTATTGGAATCAAAATTAGAAGCTACTAAGGGTAGGTATCATAAATAAGACTTTAGTTATATGATATCTTACAGAATTCTCTTTTTTTACTTCTTACTGAAATCATATTATTAACTCTTTAAGACGTCAGCATGGAGACGTCACATTTATGACATTTTAATGCAATTCTTTCTTCTCACCGCTGTAACTGCTTGTGTTTGATATAAGAAGCGGAGAAGTAGAATTTAGAGCGTGCTTCATACCAAACGGTCTTAGACCTAGGTAAACGGCTACCCTATACTGACGAGCTCCAAAAGAGGGAAACAGGCAGTCTATCAGTGCCGGTGAAGAGCACGCTTAAATTTAAACAAAAGTGAGACGAAGTAATCGCAATTCCTAAAATTAGCGAATACGAGCAAATTATTAAAATGATTTTAATAAAATCCATTTAACAAATTAATAAAATAAGACTTAATTAAGACGTCATATTGCTGTCTGGGCCTTTGGGAATACCACTCTTCAATTCTGTAAAGCTTGTCCATTAGACCCCAATAAAGCATTTCAGGATGGCCAGAGGATGTCTTCCTTAAGACGTTCTGGGGACCGACGATTTGGTAACATCGGATGTCCCTGCCCTGATAGCAAAATTTGATTCTAAGAATCTTCTAAGAAGATATGACCCGGAATCATGGAATATTCTTAGAACCTTCCCTTGTTGCTAAGAATGTTCTTAGGGACTTTTAAAACATTCAATAGATACCCTTTTAATGATGCAATTAGATTCTTAGAAGCTTCTTAAAACCTTCCTAAAAAGCATTCTAAGAACATTTTAAGAATACGTTTTTGGAATGTTCTTAGAAGGTTTCTTATGGAGCTTCTAGGAAGCTTTTGAGAATATTTTCAAATATGTCAGATACCCACGTTCTAATATGTTGGATTCTACATTCGTAAAATTCTTCAGGAGGCGACAAATACGCCTCACTGTCATAATATGACAGTGAAATGTATTTGTCGTCCCCTTAAAAAATTTTTGCGACATATTAATATATATTTATTTAAAAATATTAAATAAACAATTTGACCTCTAAACCATAAGTTGTATGCCATTATTTCATAAAAAGTAAAATTGGAAAATTTTGTGGGATAAGTCAGATTAGATTGAAGTTGAAAATAGTTAGGATTATAATAATAATTATACATAAAAATGTTAATTCAGAAATAAATTAATAAATATTTATTTTTAACATAAAATAAAATATAAAAAACAAAATATTTCCTTATAAAATAATTCTTCATAAAAGAAAAAAACAAATAGTTCTTCATAAAAAACATTTTTCATTGTATTTAAGTTGGATAGAAGATTTTATGTAAAAGCCGGATAATTTAGATACCTATAGTATGAGTATTTTTGTTATCGAATATTGTTTTAATTTGACAAATAACTATAAAAGAATATTTTGGGTTGTGTTTTTTACTTAGTATTTAATACTAAGTATAGGTACCTTTATACGTATATTATGGTATATTTTACTATTATATAGGTACCTAACTGAACTGAATATGCTTAACAGAATGTTCCAGGAATATTCCTAAATTATAGCAATATAGCAATATAGCAATTACTTTCCCAACATTCTGAGCATATGTTTAGAGTGGATTAATTTTTACCACTAAACTTTGCACCTTCTAAGAACCTGCCTATAGGCCAGTAAGAATATTCTTAGGATCATGCTATATGTCTTTTAAGCATGTTCTTTAGAAGAAATATAGCATGATCCTAAGAATATTCTCACTGGAAGGTTTAAAAAACATTCTTAGAACATGACTAGAAGAAATATAGCATGATCCTAAGAATATTCCCACTGGAAGGTTTAAAAAACATTCTTAGAATAAACTGTGCTATCAGGGTGGAACGTCCTGGACCTGATTCGGGCGTACTCGGAACTTACTAATGTCTAATACAAGATATACTCAGGACGTTTTTAGTACTTATTTGTGCTATCTGGGTTTTTAACATGTATTGTAGCTACTAATAATTTATTATAATAAGTTTTCTGAAATGTCTTCATGGTTTTGATTTGTTTTAGATGATAGTATTACTGAAGCTCATTCATCACCAATATTAGGTAATAAACCGTCAAGCAAAAGCGCGACGCCAAGCCCGGTGGCGCAGGCCAGCAGGAGAGGTCTGGACTCGACACTTTCTTCTAGTCAGCCGGATTGGCATTACCAGGACGATGATATCGATAGACTGGTCATGCACACCACAAGAAACAGCCTTTCTAGCTTAGGGGTAAGGGAAATTAATTAAATACCACAACTAGACCCTACGAATTTGTCCGATCTTCTCCAATAATAATAATATTCACATTCACGTCTTTCTGCCTGTTTTGTACTAGTATATTAAAGAACTAATGTCATAAGACGTCATTTTGTCGCACGCGGACAATTTATAAAACGAGCGACGAAGGAGCGAGTTTTGTAATGGACGAGTGCGACAAAAGGTCTTATGACATGAGTTTCTTATGCTATTTTATCTATTTTGCAAAAATTCTATAAAAAAAATTAATTTTATACCTTAAATTTAATTTGGTCAAACTTTACTTTAGATAGGTGGTATCAAAGTCATTGGTTTGACAGTTAATGTCAAAATCGATTCGCCATGTCGTCCTTAATTTACTTATTTACAATAAGCGGCTGTTAATGTTAAAGAGGAAAAAAAGGATTTTCTTTGGTGTTAAACAAAATTTATTGCCAGAAAAAATTCGTAAGTAGAAAAATCATAAAACTATTATAACCAATATGCAAAATATTATGCTGTTTAAAGTATAGCCAACCTATAAAATCAAAATTTTGGGTGGGATAAAGTATCTCATTACAGCACCGAAATCGGTGTTATAATGAAGTCATTATGAACGCAAACTAGATAATAGTATATTATGTATCAAGTTTGATAAACGCCATTTTATACACGAATTTAATTTAGGCACGAGCGAGCTTGTGAGCGAGTTCCTAAATTAATGAGTGTATAGAAAAGTTTATACTATACTATACTATACTTTTTCTACGACAAATACTTATTATTATCTTAAAATGATTTAAATCAAAAATTTGCATAGAGTGCCATCTATGAAACAATAGGGTAATCTGTGTGTCACCGTCAAATGTCATTTTTTTTATTTTATAAACACAGATTATAAAGGTTATAAATCGAAATGTATTTCTTGAAAATTGACAGTTTTTCACAGTGAAAGTAAAGAAAATGTTTTATGAGCACTTTACAGTGGAGTCCGTGTCCGAATTTAAGTTATAGTTTACTGCCGGCGAAATTATAAGGTCAGTACAATTTATGTATAAACTTTTCAAATATTGGCGTTGAGAAACTATTTAATACTTTTGTATTTTTGTATTGAGATAATAAAATAATTTTCACATTTAGTATTATTTTACAAGAAAGGCAATTTATTTTAACGATTGTATGACATTTGAAAACTGTCAACTAACTTAAAACTAACTTCAGCCCGTGACTAAAGCGCCATAAAGCCACAACTTGTCAATGTGTATTTAAAAGGTCATTTGGTGTCATGGAAACATGTACGATAAAGGGCTTTTTAAAGGTGGGAGTAGAAAAAATAATTTAAAATACCCATATCACAATTTATCACATTTATGAAAATAAAAATAAAGTCAATATACAGGGTGTTTCATAATATATGCGCAGGACTTCAGGATGTGATAGCTCATCCAAAAAGATGAAAAAAGTCGCTATTAACTTACCCTCTAAAATGCACAATTTTCGAGATACAGGGTGTTGAAATTTTAGAAAAAAAATCGTTTTTTTCGATTATCTCCGGAACCGTTTATCGTACAAAAAACTGCTTTTGTAAGCATTTTCTACTCAAAATAAGCTGTTTTGTGTCAGAAAAAAATTTTTTTTTACACATAATTGGTGGAGATTTTGAAGGGGTAGCGGGTGTTTTTCTCCTCAAATGTACGGTTTTAAGAGGCCTATTCGAACCGCCAATATTTTCTACACAAAAAAGGTACTCTTGGTCATAAGCTCTAAAGTTGACCGTTTTCGAGAAAAATCAACTTTTATGTTTAAAAACATGTTCAATTTTTTGAAAAAAAAATTTTATTACTAATTAAACAAAATTTATTTTAACGTTAGAAAAAGTATCAAAACCAAACGATAATTGCAAAATTAAAAAAAAAATAAAAAATGATTTTTTACACAAATGCTGAAATGTTCGAAATGCGTTACCTTTACGGTTTGGAGAATTTAGCAAAGACAACTTTTGAATCATTTTTTATTTTGCAATTATGGTTTGGTTTTGTTACTTGTTCTAACGTTAAAATAAATTTTGTTTAATTAGTAAAAAAAAATTTTTTTTTTTTTAAATTGACCATATTTTTAAACATAAAAGTTGATTTTTCTCGAAAACGTTCAACTTTAAAGCTTATGACCAAGAGTACCTTTTTTGTGTAGAAAACATTGGCGGTTCGAATAGGCCTCTTAAAACCGTACATTTTTCAGGGGCGTAGAAGTTGAGGAGAAAAACACCCGCTACCCCTTCAAAATCTCCACCAATTATGAGTAAAAAAAATTTTTTTTCTGGCACAAAACATAGCTTATTTTGAGTAGAAAATGCTTACAAAAGCTGTTTTTTGTACGATAAACGGTTCCGGAGATAATCGAAAAAAACGATTTTTTTTCTAAAATTTCAACACCCTGTATCTCGAAAATTGTGCATTTTAGAGGGTAAGTTAATAGCGACTTTTTTCATCTTTTTGGATGAGCTATCACATCCTGAAGTCCTGCGCATATATTATGAAACACCCTGTATATCATATAATAATTTTGGCATTTTGGTTCACTGTTCAAGAATAGTGTAAAAAAGTGATGTTGGCGAATGAAGTCTTTTTGTCTGATTGGTGGGTGTTTCATAGTTAAGCATGAATTAAATTATATTCATATTTTGGGGTTGTCTCTGAATTGTTTTGTTTTTTCATTTCTTAGTGGTTGGCTTGTATTTGATGGGTTATATATAACACCACTTAAATTTAAGTGGTGTCGCATTTTTGTCATTGTTCTGAGACTTTGTATGTCTTCTGCCTCTACATTTTTTAGCAGGTCCTTTTAGATTGTTTGCAAGAACGAATGGGTTTACAGAAATTTTTGTTGCGGTTTTTGTACTTATTACATTGTTTTTGTAGGTAGGTAATCTGAAGTGGCTTGCTCTTTGTACAATTTTATGCTTTATAGACTGGTAGTGGTCTTTAAGGTTAAGTTTATTGTCTAGTCGGAACCCGAGGTATTTGGCTGTTGTTTCTGACTGATTTCGTGACCATCTACTCTAATTGTTGGTAAAGAATCTTTGACCTTTTGATGATAAATCAGTAGTTGTGATTTGTGGGGATTTGGCTGTATTTTTTATTTGTGCATACATGAAACTGTATGGGTAGTGATTTGATGTAAATTATTTATCATCTCGAAGATGGTTTTTCCGTATGCTGTAAGGCCAGTCTCTTCAGCGAACTGAATGATGTATTGATTGGAATTTATTTGAATACGGTAGCTTTTATAGATATCGTGGCAATATACATTATACATATCGGGAGATATGGGTGAACCCTGGGCCAGTCCTTGTTCAGGGGTTATTCGATCGTACAAGATATTACTAAATTTTACTTGTAATGTTCTGTCTTCTAGGTATTGTTTTAAGATATGTAGTAATAATTAGGACATTTTAGAAGATAGGTACAATTTATGAAGTAAGCCGTTTATCTAAACGCTGTCAAATGCTTTTTGTATATCCACTCTCTAAAAATAAATTAGTCAAATATGAACAAATATCCACTTTAATAAAATGTTGAGAAAATGCCAAAAATTCTCGGTTTCCTGGTCTTTAAAGATAAAAAAGCAAACTTGAGTTTTGTGGGCTTTATGGTACTTGATTTATAAGACATACTTTCTTCGTTTTCAAAAACTTTATATTAAGGCCAAAATTTCAAAAAATGTTTTGTATATAGCCGGTTTTGCTCAAAAACCTACGAATAAAATGTGAAAAAACCTTTATTATTCAAAAATATTAACAAAATAAATTTAGTAAAACATGAAAAAACAGAACAAATTTTAGTAGTAGATAGTGTCGACATATCCAAGCCACATGCTCATCATCATTATTATTTATTGGATATAGCCGGGTTTTCTATAAAAACGTGGATTTGGCCGGTTTTGCTCCTAAAGCTACCTTTTAAATGTGATTTTAACATGGATATAGTCGGATTTAAACAGAATTATCTTGGTTGTCGATAGAAATTAACCCAAAGATGCGAAATCAAAAAAAAAAACCAAAAGTGAATAAAATGGATTTAGCCGGTTTTGCACGGATGGTCCTCAATTGCCATAGCGAAAAAACAGACACTAATTGAGGAGCATCCGTGCAAAACCGGCTATATCCACTTTAATAAAATGTTGGGAAAATGGCAAAAACTTTTGGTTTCCTGGCCTTTACAGATAAAAGAAAAAGCAAACTTGAGTTTTGTGTCCTTTGTGGTACTTGATTTATAAGACATACTTTTGTTTTCAAAAACTTTATATTAAGGCCAAAATTTCAAAAAATGTTTTGTATATAGCCGGTTTTGCTCGAAAACCGAATTAAAAACCAATAAAAAGTAAAAAAAAACCTTTATTATTCAAAAATATTAACAAAATAAATTTAGTGCAAACATGAAAAAATAGAACAAATTTTAGTAGTGGTATCGACATATCCAAGCCACATATTATTATTTATTGGATATAGCCGGGTTTGCTATAAAAACGTGGATTTGGCCAGTTTTGCTCCTAAAGCTACCTTTTAAATGTCATTTTAATATGGATATAGTCGGATTTAAACAGAATTATCTTGGTTTTCGATAGAAATGAACCCAAAGATGCGAAATCAAAAATAAAACAAAAACTGAATAAAATGGATTTAGCCGGTTTTGCACGGATGCTCCTCAATTATTCTAGTCAATTATATGTATCGTCCGCTGAATCCGAAAATTTCATCAAACGTTATAAAAATATAACAGTTTTTGAGATTTAGTCAATTTTCCATATAATATGGAATTGACTATATCTCAAAAACTGCTTTACTTTCTAAACTTTTTATGACATTGCGGACAATTTTACATAGGAATTGAATATTAAATGTCCGTGATACAAATTGATGTGGACTGCAGCTATAATAATAAGTGGCTTCTGTTTCGCTATGACAATTAGCCATTTTTGACTAATTCATTTTAAGA